TGTTAAGTGTTGAGGTTGAGGTTCAGAGTGTTCTTCCAGCTAATCCCAAGTGTGATAATTTTCCGCGTGTGACATTGACATTGTGCGAGGAGCAGTGTGCGTGTCGGTAGATAAGTTTCGGGTAACATATGTTGCCAATGATTACACTGAGGCTGATGGATGTCGAAGGGAAACTTAAGCCTCCCCCCGGATCCCATGCCAGCCATGTCTGTGATAATGAGCAGTAGATGTTACCGCATCTAATGGTGGGTAAGGTGTGGCCTGCTTCCTGCTGCGCGTTAGTCAAAGTTTGCTTTCAACTAATGGGCGGATTGAAACCTGTCTTGAATGAGCTATGAGTGCAGTGTGCATTACCTGTAGGAAACACGTCAAAAGCAATTTGCAGCCAGGAAGGATAAATCTCTTGTTTCTCGAATACTTTCCCATGCCAAAGGGCAGGCTCAATCGCTAAAAAGACGTTAATAATCGAGGGACATTCATAAGATCCTAAATCCAATTCGTTTCGGATCGACGAGGCAGCATCGACGGCGGCGTTATCACCTTTAAGGAACAAAACACAACCCAGGAGGTCCTGCAGGACTGCGACGCCGACTCTGTGGGCTCGTTAAAATTTCATTCGTTTGCCCTTTCATTAGCAAAGCTGTGATAATTTTACCCAGAACAGAACCCGAAGACGAGCAGCCCAAAGATGCTCTAAGAATGAGTAGGAGAGAGAGGGACCATGGAACTGATCTCATCTGATCTGGTTTAAATATTACAGTGGCTGCTGGCGGCAGTTCAAAAGGATCCGGCGGCAAAGCGAGAGCGTGAGAGAAGGAAGGAGAGGCGCAGCCCCTGCCACACATATTGATTAAGCATGAAGTCGAGTCGGTTCCTAGCTCCATGGGTCTCTCCCTCTACCTCTGCCACTCTCTTTCCCTTTGTTTTTTTCCGCATTAAAATTCTTAATTTATTTTCAGTCAGAGATGAACTTGAGCAAACAGTGGGCTCAAGTGCAGCGGCGCATTAGGCACAGTCATTCCCACTGTCCTAGCATCCCATCCCATCCCATCCCATCCAGCCTTTCCCCGAATCATGCTCTCTGTCGGACACTGTCTGTTTGTGGATCATTCTCTATGGTTCGGAATATCTGGGGATATCTGGATATCTGGATATCTGGGTGTGAAGTGCGGCACATTGAGCTCCCTTCAAAGGTGTGTGGGCCCGATGCGTGAAGTGGGCGTGCCAGGCGCCCTCTCTCTCTCGCTCGCTTGTGATTGTGCAATAAAAACGCGGCAAGGGCATTGCAAATTGCTTGAATGCCGCACAGCTGTGGCCGCATTCGATGCGCTTTTCATTTTCGATTATTTATTTGTGTTTCCATGGGGCATGTGCATGTTCTGTCGCGTTGCGTTGCGGTCTTTGGAAGGTGCCAAGTCATCGACGATCGCTCAATTTGCCAAGCATCTGACGCCAGCTGGCGCCAAGGCTAATGCCCTAACAAGACAATAACAGATTTCTTGTAAATTATGCTTCCTCCGAGGGTGGAACTGCACATGAAAAATGAGTTGTTAATCGTAAAAATAAGGTGTGAAGGGAGGAAACAGCTTTAGAGTCGTACTTCCCCCCGAAATTCTAAGGAAATCTTTGGATTTAATTAAAATAGCACCTGAAACCCCGCGGACCAAAGACCTACGAGTACGAGGATGAGTGTCAAAGGAAAACCTCGGCTTGAAAAGCGGCCCAAAGAAATAGGCGAGACAAATGTTTGCCCAAGGAGATGAGGGAAGACGGAAGGCAAACTGAATGCCAATGACAAATTTATGTATAAACTTTAGAGCTAAAGTGCCACTAACTAACCTCTTCACACACACACACACACACACCCAGAGGACACTCTGACATACGTGCAGTTCCCTTGAGATGAGATGAGTGCAATGGCACGGCGCCTGGATGTGGACTTTATGAATGGGCAGCCGGAGAGGCGTCTATGAATAGAAATGCACCCTGACTCAGGACACACAATGTGCACTCCCACGTTGATTACTATTAAAAGAGGTGGCCTTAGGACAAAGGGGGACTGGGGATTCTAGTCTGGCAGGAGGCAGGGCTGAAAAGCTTCCGACAATGTCAATGTGCCTCCGCGAAGCTCCTACGCTGCGCAGCTTTTAATGATTTATTTGAGAAAATTTACACGTGAGCGCGGGGGGAGGTAAAAACAAACACTAGCACAGACGCGAGCAAACAGAAGATGAATGGAAATGAAATCCGCATGAGGCAGCACATGGTGGGGAGGGAAGGAAACATATGGCAGGCAGAAGGAGGATGGGCTGGGTTGGCCTGCCATCCTCCTGAATTAAGTTGCCAGACCATGAAATGCTTTGGCACGTACGTAGCGCCAATTCCGCGAAGCTTTTTGCATAAACAAAAGGTATCCATGCTGGGGGAGGGGGAGCGCGAGGGGGTGTTGCCCTTGCTATCTACCCCTCTACATCACCATCACCATCGCCATCGCCATCTCCATCTTTTTGTATGTTATTTCAGTTACAATTCGCGAGTTTTTCATATTCCTTTAACGATTTATCATGCGAAAATTGTCTGGGGCCAAAGCCACGCTCACTTTGCATATGCCAGAACACAGTGCACAGTGCTTCCAGATACATTTGCACACTCCACTGATTCCCCCCAAATTGTGTGTTGTTTATTGTTGTGCCACTGTGCAAGCGTTTACTATTTTTGTTTTACCACCTGCGGGTGTTTTTCCCTGGGTCTTGTGCGCTCCGTTTGCACTGCGTAAATTTAGTCACGTTGTTTAAATAATAAACTGCAGTTCACACACACAAGCACACGCACACACAGAGAGGGAATTATGCAAAAAGCAAAGGCAAAAGATACAGTGTCTGAGAGCCACAATCAGAGACAATGGGCAGAGTTATGATGACAATGTGCATACGTCATGGTCTCAGGGGAAGAGTAGCAGAGCCATCCCACGGTTCTGATTTGGCTTATTTCAACCAAAACCACCTGAAACTGATTCCACATATAGATAGATAGATGGGGGATACACGTACAACTCAATCAGGGAAACGCCAAAGGGCGGAGAGAATGAATTGAGAATCGGAGCACAGGTGGAGGGTGGAGGATGGAGGCTCGGGAAAAAATAAGCACGATTAATTATTGTTTATCGCTAAACAAATATCTTTTAATTAGCATGAAATATACGAAATCCGAGATAAGATCTTTGTAATTTTATGGCCCCAAAGAGAGAGAGAGAGAGAGAGAGAGAGAGCGCGCGAGAGAGATGCACCGTTAAAGTCAAGTAGCGATATAGATCAAAGGGGGGAACTGCCATCAAAACTCATTTGGAATTGAGAGATAAAACTAGCAATCGACTGAGGATGCGGATGATTATGTTGATGGGAATTAAATGAGCTGAAATGGATTGACTCTTACAGAGTAGAGTGAACTTTAAACCCTCCTCTGTGCTTCTCTTGACACACTCTTGACTTGACTCTCTGGCAGTCTGTGAATTTGCATACGCAGAGTGCTCCCAGATACAACAATTTGTTACATTGTTTTTTGCGTACCAACTTAGTTGTGTGTACCAAGAATTATTACAGAGCATAAATTCCAGGCAGCAACCCACTTTCCTCCACAGTCCCCCGAGGCAACAAAAAGGGTTACCAAAAATAGCAAGACTTGCCATATACGAGCAGAGAGAGGGAGCATCCTCATCCTCATCCTCATCCTCATACTCCTGCTGCTCACATCAGGCCATAAAATAGTTGTCGCTGGCCCGGCCTGGCTTCGGATAAGCATCTGGCCCCCCGCTTTTTCGGAGTTGGCCTCTGATTACTTCGTTAAGTTGCATGTTCCTACAAATTGTTTCCAAAGAAAGGCAATCAAAATAAAAATGATTGCCCAGCCTCCCCTCCCGAAAACCTCCCGATCTCTGACTGCAAGGGGTCAAAGGTAGTCACAACAACACAACATGAAAGTTGTGAAAGGTGCATCTCGAGAGACTAGTTTATGTTTTGGATCCCTACGATCTTGCTCCACTGCTCCCCAGACACATTCATTCCAGTGTCCGTCGTCCGTGGCTCCTGTCAAAATATATTCCACTCTCTGCACGCTTATCAGACTCTTGTCATCAAAAAACAGAGACAGACTCAAAGACACAGGCAGAGACAGAGACAGAGACGCCTATGACGACGCACAAGTGCCTGGGAACTGGGGAACTTCATTAGAGAAAGTCCCCCGAGAGACTAATTTTTAGTAGCTTTGTCTTTTGTGTGTGTGTGTGTGTGTGTGTGTGTGTGTGTATTTTGTCAAAGCTAATTAGTACGTAAAGGCATTAACAATGCAGTCCGGCACAGTGATGAATATATGACTGAACCCGAAGACCGAACACCCGAACCCAAGAGCTGCATTTTGAGTGTGAAAAGCATATTTTGTGTGTGAGTTCTTTGTTGGTTGGTTTCCTCAAGTCATTATGACATTGGCATTAGCATAATACGCGTATTATATGCGTATTAATTACAGCGCAGACATTTGCATTTAAACGCCTATTTGTACGCAGGTACACGGGAAAGACACAGACCCAAAAGATGGTGGTGGGTACCCCGGACAGACGCTGTCTAACACTGGCGCGCATTCAGCCCGGTAGCCAAAGCTCGAGCTGTAATTATTGAATTAGAAGACAATAGACCCTAAAGAGGCAGCGCCGCAGATGCGTACGTTTTGATTGTTGGGAGCTGAAGACCACCCGAGCGTAAAGAAAATACCCAAAGATGGTTGCTTGATGGGTAGGTTGAGGCCACACCAGGACAGGCCGAACAAAAAGAGTTATTATCTTCGGATATTTGCATAAATTTCACGCCCCAACAAATGAAATGATCCACAGAGGAAGTCAGCGCATTCTCTCAGATTGTTTGGGAAGCTGCTTCCACCGGGCGATGTGTGTGTTCTAGATGGTATCTTAATGTAATTATCACAATTTTAGAGCTATACCACACTTAGGATCAGCCCAACATTCGGAGGAACTCGCTGCCTAAATGATGAACATCGCTGAAGTGTTGCAGCAATGAGTTGGGGCACCTCTGGAATACCTGATCGCAGTCGGTGCCAGCTGCGCCCAAGCGTTCTGCCTGCAGATAATCGTTGTCCGAATGCTCCGACAAAGTATCCACAGAACTGGAGGGTCTATGAAGAAACAAGAGTATTAGCAAAGAACTCTCTCTGACTCCATTTAGTTGGGCTATCACTTACGTGAGCAGGATGTGGAGTAGTTCGCCCAGCAGGCCATTCCTGTCATCGAACGGAGCTGCCGCACTCTCACAGATGCTCTTCAGGATGCACTCTCGTCCGTGGAGGTTCATGCGAATGGCCAGAGCCTGGAAGGCCTCGTACACCGACCAGCGATAGGTGGCCAGAGCCTGAACATTCTCTTCCATATCCCACGAGGACACACCAAGCTCTTCGTCTGTTTTCTGCATTACCTTCTGGAAGATGGTGGCATTCGCTGGTAGCTTACGTGCCGTGATGTCATGGACATCCTTGACCCTCAATTGTTTGGCGGAATAGGGCAAATAGTAATGCGCCTTGAGCACGTAACCTGTGAGCACGGACTCTATCTTGAGATCCTCCACGGGTATACCGAAGCCAATGATCATCTGTCAAGAAGGGAGCGTGAGAGATCTTTCCTTCGATCCATTGGGGAGTTTCTTACTTGCATTCTGGTGGGATTGGCTCGTGGAAAGATCAGCGGCAGCCAACGGGCTTTACGCACCAGCAGTTCACTCTCACTGTGATGGTTGTGGCTGTCATTGAAGACAGCACCATCAACCAGATAGAGGGAACCAATAAGCACAAGAAATACATTCAGTTTCACATTCATTTTGAGATCCTGGACGGGCAAAGACATGGACCACTCAGCTTCAAAGGCAAATTATGACTGGATGCGGGACTATCGAAATGTTTTCACTTTAACAACCAAATGAATAAAACTTTTTACTTTCTTTGATTAGAAAACCGAAAGTGACATTAGACGCTGGACAATGTGGCACACTTGAGTCACGATCTAGGGTCCAACGGTCTGACCAATGTGCGGGACGTCACTGTGGCCTCAGAGAGAACTTCACGTTCGCCCAATTAGCACCCGGGCTGGGCTCCACATTTTGTCTGCTTTGTTTCTAATCGCCGTTTCCAAGAAGAACACTGAGCGAAAGTTTATGGTTAGACTTTTGGTTTATTAGCTCAAAACAAGACCTTTTCCAAGTTGTGGTGGAGCTCGCTGAAGTGCTGCAGGAGACTCCGGCGGCACTCCTTGAACACCCGATCACAACCGGCACCGGACTGGCCCATCTTCTCGGCATAGTAGTACTCATTGTCCGCATGCTCCGACAATTTGTCCACCGAAGAGGAGGGACTGTAAGGAAAGGGAAAAACTGTATAAGAATGAGTTCGGGTTGCTCTTTGTCCTCCACTTACGACAGCAGAATGTGAAAGAGATCCGCCAAGAGGCCATTGGCAAAGTGAAAGGGTTCCTCGGCAGCCTCGCAAATGCTCTTCAGGACACAGATCCTGCCCTGGTAGCCGAGGCGATCGGCCAGACCCTCCAGTCCCTTGTAGACAGTCCAGCGATAGCTGCTCAGCACTTTGTTCGTTCTCGTCAGCATCTTCCTGGTGTTCTTGCCCAGCTCATCCACGCCGACCAGAAAGTTCTCGAACATGGGCTTCCGCTGCCTGCGGGCACCGGTGATGCCTGGCGTGGCCACCTGTGTAATGGGCAGGGCTGTGGGTGTCCTCAAGTCGTCTGGCGAGATGGGCAGCCAGTACTCCACTTTGAGGACATAGCCCGTGGTCACGGCCTCAAAGTTGAGGTCCTCCAAGGGTAAACCAATGCCGCCAATGAACTGTGGGAGCAATCGAAGGGGTTAGTGGATCAGGATGGTGGTCGGTGTGATCGCTACTAACCATGACACGTGTGGGCGAGGTTGTGGGAAAGATCAGCCAGGGTATGGGCGTTCTCTTGCTGCGCTCGTGCTTGGATAAGCTGCCCAGAGTGGCCATGGCCATGTGCAGCATCTGGCAGAGAACACAGCCCACCGTAATAGTTGCTATTCTGGATTTCATTTGTGTGTTCTTGTTTTTATGATTTTTGCTAAGCGATTCCCCAGCGCGTTGTTAATGCCAGCTCTGGCAGGGGGATACTAAAAAGTATTCTTAATGTTCTTTTTCTAACTCACGGATTTTCTTTTTGATTTCTCAATCAAATCAGCCAGAAGCCATCTACTTTCTCGCGAGTGGAAGAATGCTACACATTCTAGCAATTAGCACCTCTCGCCTCTCCATTTGTGGCGCTCAAAGACGCTCCAAGAGAGGCCCAGAGACGGGGTCATGTGGTAACTGTGTAAATCTTGCATATTCCGGTTCTGTTTTAGCTGCCGTCTGATACCGTAAGCCATTTCTCACTCACTCATTAGAGAGCAGTCTCGTCCAAGCTGCCATTTCTGACGCCCATTTTTGTCTGTCTTCTAACTGATTGTGCAACGTGCAATTTGCAACTGCAACTTAGTTCGCTGAAGGCTCTCCTTAAGATGGGTTCACCGCGCTTTCAAATTTGTTTGGGTCTCCTATTGATCCTCGGTTTAAGGCTCGCGCAGGGTTTTCTCTTCTTTCCACGCCAGGGATCCTTTGGGGTAGGTATTGTTGGGTCCAAAAGTAAATGTAAGCTTTGACTTGCTTTGCAGTTGCTGGCTGCTGTGGCTATACCGCTGGATCTTTCACCCAAAAATGTGTACATGGCCTTCAACTTTGAGTCCAACTATGCGCTGCCCTCAAATGATTCCTACAATCAGTGGATCGATAGGGTGAGCGCCTCCCAAAGGGTACTTTAGATCAAGCAGTTATAATCTTTTTTTTCAGTGGGATCTTGACGATCCCTTCATGGGTGTTCCTGGCAATACTACACCCATCAATGCACGTGATGGCGGCGCCTCCGATGAAGAAAACGAAGTGAGACGCCGTTCGATGAGATCTCCGATACCGTTCAGGCGCCACGACTTCTATCGCAGCATTATCAACTACCTGACCCACTATGGGTACAATGGCTCCTCCTGCCTGCTGCGCACCATTTGCGAGGTCAACGAATCGCCTCTGGATGCCCACAATGGGGTACTGGGCAGCATATTCCAAATTCTATTCATGTGAGTGTCCGTCGTCCAGGGGTCACTGCTAATCACCTTTGGGTTCATCCTCTCTACCTCTTATTCTCTTCTCTCTAGGCCAACGACGAGTGCCGCAGAGCGTCAACTGCAGCACGTGGACGAGCTCTACGAGGCCTCCGATGCGGGCACGAGCGGCTCTGGCTGCTCCAAATACGTGTCCAACTGTGGACACAGTTTGCTGGACCTGATAAGCATTGTGTTGTGAATAATTACCCACCACACACACTAGAACTAACGAAAAACTGAAAACTTTAAGTGCAGCTAGTGGGAAATTTGGCACAAAAGAGAAATTTTAAGTGCCCCGCTATGAGACACAGAACTTTGTTCGGGATTAAAGAGGTGTCGTATAAGCAATAAAGTTTCTAAGATGTTCACCCGTACAACAGACAGACCCATAAAGACGCTCCCCAAGCAGTTGTCCTGGCTGAGGAATGATGTTGCCTCCTGCGGCGTAAAATGTTTTAATTTTCGCTTAAAGCGCTTAAAGACGACGACGCAGTGGCCCGGCAACAAAGCAGATGACGAGCTCAGGGCAAAGGAAAAAGGAGTCCTAAGCTGGCAGCATGGTTTCGGGTTAGGGGTTTCGGTTTTTGAGGTTTTTTGCTTAATATTGGACATGTGTGTTGAGCGTCCCTGCTTTATATTTTTGAGATGCCGATTCTCTTCTTTCCGCTCCTTTCTTGTGCCTCTTTGATCGCTTTTTCCGCTTCTTTTGTGCAAATTGTATTCCCGAGGCCTCCAGCCTTTGTCTGAGTGTGTTTTGCGGTCTCCTTTTGCGTCTCTTCAGGAGCCTGAGCCTGAGCCTGTCTATCAACAATGGTGAGTGGTGAGTGGAGTCTCTTATATTTTTGTTTTTCTGTTTTTTGTTTGTTTGTTTGTTATTTCTTTGATTCGATTTGCCGCCTTTAGGGAGCCTCATCCGTCCGCAGAGATGGTGAGAGCGAATTACGCCTTCTTTGATTTTGGCAATCCATTGAAATCATAATTAGAAGACAAATGATTCCTCCTTTCGGTTCCACTCCTCGAACAATGGCAAGGCATCGAAGCTGAAGTGCTTATGCACGCCAGAGTTTGAGAAAGGTTTAAGGAATATCCCAAAGAAACTTGATCACTAATAAGCTTAGGCGAAGGCACAGGGGTGGAAGATATTTGTGAAGTTTGGATGGAAAGATCAGAGTACCCCTAACAGACATATTTGTGCATGATTGCAGGAGAATATGTATTCGTTATTAAAATTCACTCTTTATTTCCACTCACTCTGCCTTACAAGCTAAGGCTAGAGGGCGCTTACAGCGCTGTAAAGGGAAGCGGCCACATGCTGTTAACAGTCTGTTAACCTGCTCTGCTAACAACGCTGTTGTTCTCGAAGTAGGGTCGACACTGCGCACACAACAGACACGAAGTCCAAAACGTTTCTTGCTTCTCTGCCGCTGCGGCAGCTGAGAATTTGTGCATGAAAATACGAAGCTATTCCCCATGAAGCAACTATAAAGGAGGGCCCGTGGGCTCCTGAATGGGAAACGCAACAATGCTGTCAATAACTGCAAGTGAAAGGGCGTGCAGAGAGGGAGAGAGAGCAACTTTACTATAACAAGAGTATGTGCTGCTCATAATTGCGTCCCAAAATGGTCGTCGGGGGGAATTTACCCGAGGAGCTCTGCTGCCGACTGGCCCTCCTTTATAGTTGCTTCATGCTATTCCCTATCGCCTCAGCGGTTGTCTATGCATAAGCCGAAGCCGCACGAAGCTTTTACGCGACAGCGCTGCTCGTGTTCCATGCACAGAGCATAGAACGCCTCCCGTCTCTGTTTTAGAATCCATGAAACCATTGTGATCCATCTTACCATATCTATTTTTCCATGCTCATCAAAGATCCTTAACAACTCTCAAACTCATATCCAACAAAAGTGATCCATCTCTTCCTTCATAAATCTCCCTCTCGTATCTATATTGCCACAGAATGCCATCCCAGCCTTGTATATATTTCTATGCTGTGTCTCATCTTGTCTATATCTCAATTGCTTGGGGCTCATAAACCTCACGCACAACCATCAAATGTGATCCATCTCAGATCGAGATGCCTACAATTTTTATGAGGTTTTTCGTCTGCTCTTTTCGTCACTTCGACAAGGGAATGGGAGGGAGGGAGGATGTCAAAGTTGTCGCCACTGATTTACGGCCAGGGAGAGTTGTCAGTTCATTTCTGAGTGTGTTTTTCTGTGTTTTAAAACTTGGCATTGACATTGGCTCCATAACATTTTAATGGGGTGCTGGCAGGTGCTAAGGAGGTTCTTCGCTCTCTCTCTCGCTTCCTGTTGCGGTTAGCTCCAGCCGCAGTCTAGGGGGAATTGGCAGCTCTGGTTTCTGTCCCTTTGCCTTTGGGGGCTGGTTCAAATTGATTTGTAATTAGTTGCAGTTGCAGTCAACAATGTGATTATCTCGGCATTTGGCATGGGCTCTCCACCACAAGAGTAGCCGGAGGTGGAGCTGTAGCTGGAACAGAAGGTGGAGCAGCGGCAGCGGTCTAAGGTTACACAGATGTGCGCAGGCGTGGCCCAGACCTCATCTCATCTCATCTCATCTCGTTTCAAGAAGCGCATCCACTTGAGGCTCGGTCGTGTGCATAAATTATATCCAAGGCTAAACATTAGCCCGGGCAATTGACAGCTCCCTTAAGTAGTCATCTATCCATGACACATGTACATGTCCATGTACATATGGACAAGGATGTAGGGGAGGGCACTGAGTAACTTGTAAACGCATCTGTGGCCAGGGATCCTGTGGACAGCCGATCCTCTGCCATGTGTCAGCAACTGTGGCCGCTCTGCGATATCCCATTCACAGCCGCTGACAGTCGTTCGGGCTCGGATTTGGTTTCGGTTTTTGTGGTGTAAATCATTGAATGGGATTTGTCAACCATTTTGCGGTTTCCATTTAATGAATACTTTTCGCCCGTCCATCTGTGTGCTCCTCTTTTTTCATGCTCTTTCAGAGCAGTTATTAAATTAGAGTTTAATCCAGTGCGGACACGGCTCTGTGCACATTAATTGAATTCATAAATGAGCAGTTTATATGATATTTATAAATTAACTAATTACCGTATCATTCGATTGTTGTGCTGTTTTTATTTGTGGCAGTTCACTCCTCTGGCGGCTTTCAACAATTGGATTAAATTTCATAATGCAAACTGGCAGTTAAATCGCCGCATTTAAAAATGCCAGCAAAAACAAAAAAATCAAAAAAGTGTTTCAGCGTTAGACAGCGTTGGGGATTCTCGGTTTATTTTAATTATCTTAATCGAATGAGTTTTATGAGCTTAATGCGAATCTATATGTGACAGGAATAATTGCGGGCAAACACTAATGGATTAAGTAGGGCATTTGCAATCGCATTAAATGGCGTTCTATTGCTGTTTATTATTGATGCCAGGATTGCCTCAGCTTTCTTCTTTAATAACTGAATGCATGTGAGCGTTTCTTAAGCTGGAAAATTACAATTTGCCAGCTCTTATCGAACCGAAATCTTAATGAAGAACTTGCTGTGTTCTCCCATGAATTTTGTGATTAGTTTCAAGCGACTTAGCAGCACCGCATCCTAATAACCATTTCAAATTGATGGGAAGAAGTCTAATGAAAAAACAGAATCATTAACCGCCGTCCCACAAGTTTTTTATCGGGCAACATCAACACCTTAATTTTCCCTCTTTTTATTTGAGTACAGACATCCCTGTCAGCGTCATCATTCATATTCATTGTCGGTCATATGAATAATGTCAAATAATTTCATTGCATCAGGTCCAAGGTTAACCCTGAAGGCAGCTCTGGCTGGCTGCATTTATATTTTGATCGATTGCAGGCCAAAAGCTGAAACTACTTTGACATTAATTGACTGCCAAATATGCACAAGCGCATGAAATTATGGAAAATCTTATTAAAGTCAACCCATCACAGCCCCAAGCCCAACCCCTACCTTTCGGGTTTCCCCTGTAAAAATCTACTCATCCAAAGTTCATAAATGCTAATGTGCCCCGCAGCCTGACGATGATTGATGGTCGGTCGTCTCAGACGCCAGGGCGATGGCGAAGGCGAAGGCGAAGGAAGAAAGTTTCTGGGCGGATGAGCGGGTTTGAGAGGGTTCTCCCATTTGCCGCACAGAATGCGCAAAATTATGCGGACAACACAAAAACCAGGATCAATCCTTGATGAAATGTATACATTTCGCCTTTATTCTCCTGCCGTGGTTGCTCTGGCCAATGCTCCTATTTAAGCCAATTTAATCCCAAACCGGCTTAGGACATTGTAAGATCTGGGATTAGGCCATGTTGCAACATCTTTTCCGCCGAAGATTTAGTTGTTATGCGGTGGCAAATATTTGGCCCAGAGGATTTTTGTTTGTAGGCGGTGTTCCCCTAATGATCTTTATGCCCAAAAAGGAAATCAGATTTTCCAGTTCCTGGGAAACTAAACTGAGAGACAGCGAGTGAAAGGAAATATCCTTTTGTCCTTCCTGTCTGTTTGTGGGTTCCCTTCTTCGACTCTTATCTCGTTGGCTCTTCATTTGTCCGTTTTATTTGGCCTCTGGCACGTGTCCTGTTTTTTTTTTGCTTGCCTCAAGTTCACACTCGGCAGACAGCAGACATCACAGAGGACCCTCTGCTCCCTCCACTCCCACTTCTATTTTGGGTGGTTTCCTTTTTTCCTATTTTTCCATGTGTCTATTGTAGTCCACAGCGCATAATTTTTCACTCGCTTGTTTGTGGCGTATCCTCTGCTGGGGGATACCATATTTTTTACCATGTGTGGGTTGATAAATTTGCTTAGATTATTATCCTGGAGATCCTGGTGTGTGGTCTGCCCTGCTTTGCTTGCTTGCTTGCTCGCTCGCTCGTTGTTATCTCCCTGTCGTAATTAGTCTGGAGCTTGTTTGCGCCGCATTTACACAAAATGCTTTTCCAGGCGCCTCACGCACCCAGGCAGAAGCAGTCTTTTGGGGGGGGGGGGCTCAGTATTCAGACCGAAAGATGGGCTAGGCCTGGTCCGAGTCCGAGTGAGGGTCCTGGACCCTGACGTGTGGCATTTTGTCGAGGCAAATTGCTCGGGCATTCACATACACTGCTCATTTTGTTTAGTTGAGAATACTTGAGGTTCTAATAGATAACCCAAGAAACGGCATATCTCAGAGCGAAAGAGAGAGAGAGAGGGAGTGTGGTCTCACCTCCGTCAAACTTACAACCTTTTAGCATAAATTTCTTCAGTCAAGCACGACAGGAAGTCGCCGGCAAACGGCGCCCTTAACCGCAGCCGCAATTTCCATTAGCAGCCTAGGAAGAACCATCGTCACATGTGGGATGTTTGCGTGTGTGTGTGTGTGTGTGTGTGTGGATGG